CAGGCTGGGGGTGCTGCTGGGTGCTGGGACACATCTTGTGCCCCCCAGCCCAGTGACATCTCTCTCTCTCCCTGGCAGGCCGACCTGGTGCATACCATCGGGGAGAGCGCAGCGCTGGGTGCAGCTGGACTTGTGCTCTGGGGAGACATGTCATACTCCCGCTCGGCTGTGAGTACGGCCCCTCGCTGCACCAGGGTGAGGGGCACTGGAGCTGGTGTGCGATGGGCAGCAGGAGGTGGCATGGGACATATGTGACAGCCGCATCGCCTGTGCCCACCAGGGAGGGGTGGCCGGAGGGACCCCAGTGCCAGGGTGGGTTCTCACTGATGCTTCCTCCCCCAGGAGAGCTGTGCCAGCCTGCGCCACTACCTCGTGTCCACCCTGGGTCCCTACGTGGCCAACGTGACGGCGGCAGCCCGGGAGTGCAGCTACAGCCAGTGCCACGGGAACGGACGCTGTGTGCGCCGGCAGCTCCACGACCTGGGCAGCCTCCTGCACCTCAGCCCCGGCACCGGCTCGCTGGCCTCTTTCCGCTGCCACTGCTACCGTGGATGGGCCGGCGAGGGCTGTGCCCGGCGGGTCGAGCCCAGCCCTGCCACCTCCTGCCTGGAGCCCACCCACGCTCATGGTCTCTGCGGGCACAACGACCTCCCACCCTCCGACACCTGCCTGCCACAGCGCGCGTGGGGCTGGTGACCAGGGCTGGGGACCACCACGGTCCCCTACTCGGGCACTGCTGCCGCCTGGTGCTTCCTACAGTCTCGTTAACTTAAATAAATCCTACTGGCACAGCTGGCATGGTCCTTGCAGGCAAAACTGGGGGAGGCTCCGTCGTGCTCCCAGGCCAGGCTGCTGGGAGGCAGCAGAGACCCCAGTTTGACTCCAGCCGGGCCCACCCGTGCCTCAGTTTCCCCACGCAGTCTCTGCCCTGCAGTCACCCAAATCCCACGGTGAGCTGGCAGCCCCTTTACCCTGGGAAGGGGGCACAGGGCACTGTCACAGGCTGCTCTCCCTTTGCCACGCTGGCACCATGCTGTCGGCAGCCTTGACCGCGCCGTCGGGCCCCCCCACCCCCCCCC